CAACGAATTTTTATATGTTTTCATAATGTGTAACAACGTTTTTAAAAATTCGTTATATCAAAAATTTAATTATACTTCGTTGAAACAAGGGTTCACTGTACATTGTGCGCGCCCTTTTTTTTGAAACACACTGTATTTGATTTTTATAAATAATAATTCTTTTGTGTGTGCAAACATTATGATGTGATAAAAAATTACCAAAGTTTTTATCACAATCTTGACTTGACTCGTGATTGTGAAATTTCAACAGATAGAATCTTTGGATCCAAAAGATTTTCAACAACAGTGATTGCATAAGCTCTAAGTATTTCAGATATCTCTGTATAATTTTTACACCATGTTTTTCTAATAATCTGGTCCATTTGACTTGGTTGATCATTTCTTTCAAGAAATAAAGTACGATAAGCATCTTTTGTAGATGGACTATTTTTCCAGTTAATTATTTCAGTTGATAAAGAGTTCATATTAATTTCTGGTAGGTTTAAAATAACAAACATGTTTTTCTTAATATTAGCTGTAATAGTTCCACGCATCTTTCTTAATTTGGTCATTCATTCAAAAATTTGTTGTTTTTGGAACCAAATCTCTTTTGAAACCAATATTTTTTGGAAGTAATAAAATAATTAAATGATACATTTATAATTTCATTTTGATCAGGATAAACATATTCTTCAAGTAAAATCTTTGTTATATTATTAATGTCTCCCTAATTAAATTTTACAAGCAGAAAAATTAGTATTAATAAATTATTTTTACTGCCCAAAGTCAGACAATTCTGACATATTCTTCATGTTTAATGGTTTTTTTAAAAAATATATGTTGTGCATCAATTTAAAATTGGATTTGACATGTGTGGATGCAAAATTCCAATTGGTTTATTCGAGTTCCAAATACCCCAACATATATTTTGAATTGAAATGATGTTGAAAAACATACTATCAATAAAAATAAAATATTTAAAAAAAACTACTACAACTGCTATTTTTATACCTTAAATTTTATATTGGCATCTTTTTCAATCATTAATCCAAGTTTTTTATTTATTGATAAAAGTAATTCATTAGTTTGATCTTGTTTTTTTGTTAAAATATTAATATTATCCATGATTTTCAGCATGGTTATATTTTTATTTTTTGACAAGTTTGAATTATCTATAAAAAATA